TGGATCAACTTTGTGGAATAATAGAGCAATCACAGTGGGCAGAAAGTCAATATTTAGAAAAGACTGGTATGAAAAAGGCATTGTTTTTGTAAAAGATATCTTGAATTGTAATGGAGATCTTTTAAATTTCTCATCTTTTGTTAGAAAATATAACCTTAGCTGCTGCCATAAAGATTTTATGAAGGTATGTAAAGCAATCCCTTTAGCCTTGATTCAGTTAATTAAAAATATCATTATGTATTCAAAGGTGACCGTCTCGATGCTCACATTAAAACTAAATGACTGTAGTTTAGTTGATCTCAAATGTAATAACAAGATTATCAATGAATGCATGCGACAAACGATGTACTATGATTACAACAAAGATTCATTCAAGAAACCTCCCAATATAAATCATAAAACCATAATGACTTCTGCTCATTCGAAATTTGTCAAATGGCCTATATCTCCTAAAGTGAAAGAAAACCATTTTAAAATAATAAATAAGATCTATCCAGTAGCCATGCTTCTGCACAGAAGATTTCAATTTGAGGTGGATTTGTGTACCTTTTGTAAATCTGAAGATGAATCCCTTGAACATTTGTTGTTTTCATGTCAATACTCACAAAGTTTCTGGACTGACATTACAAACTGGATTAATCTAAAACGGAACATTCCTCCCTTTGATGCTGATGCCATTTGATTTTACATGGATAATTTAAGCTCAGATTACTCTGATGCTATAAATATAGTCATCCTTATAGCAAAGTACCACATTCATTGTAGTAAGTGGAGGGATAATAAGCCCTCCTTCCCGTGTTTTATGAACAAATTCAAGTCGTACTATTCTTCAATAAGGAGATTAAAAAACTGGAAAACTGCTAGAACCATTTCACAACAGATATTAAAAAAAATTGTTGTTTTAAGTTTCTCATATTGTTTTGCTCCTTTTTGTTTCTTATGTTTCCTTTTTTTTCAATGTTTTTATATATGTATTTCTCAATTTTCATCATTTTGTAACACCCCCCCCCCCCCCCCCCCAGCTTGTAAACTGTAGTTATGACACCCTTCACGAGTGTTTGTATATATCTTTCTCTTTTGTAGTGTTCTGTGTGTTTATTAATAAAAATAAAATAAAAGAATTATGGGGAGAAGGAGGTGGGGGCTGCACGGAGGGTGGGGTCCAGCCTCTGGTGTTTCCTCTCAGCGTCCAATCCAGCGAGTTGTGTATTTCTAAACTACAAGACTCAACGGACTCCAGGGGGACTGGTGCGGAGCTCTGACTGGTGCGGAGCTTTGACTGGTGGGGAGCTCTGACTGGTGCGGAGCCCTGACTGGTGGGACCTCGGAGGGGGGAAGGAAGCGCGGCAGGCTGGGCGGAGACCCGAGCACATCCTGTTTCACACTCACTGAAACGTGGCCGGTAGTTTGAGAGAGAGAGAGAGGGGAGGGGTGAAGTTCAGTGAGGCTGTGCCGCCTGTTTTTAGAGACTTACAGACATTTTGTCGTCAGCCAGACAACTTATTTTAGCCGTCAAGCTAGCGACTGTGACAGATAATTAGCCCGGCGTCCCTTTGCTACATTAGTGCTGGTTTACTTGCGTCAAGCTCACTTTAAAAGTGACTGAAAGTTTAGTTTTGTTACGGGACCGAGAGGTTGTTGTTTTTAGACTTTTTTGCGATGACGAGCATCACGGCAAACGAGGCGAGCAGCGCGGACAAGACCCCGTCCTTCGAGATGTCCTGGGGCAGCTCCGCCAGCAGTGGCTACTGCAGCGACGAGGACTCCGACCCGGAGTTCGAGCAGTTCTTCACCGCCCGGACCTCCTTCTTTCCCAAAACCAGAAAAAACAGTGTCAAGAATGAAAACGTGAAGAAGGTGAGGGGAGCGAGAATGTGAAAGATAAAAAGCAGAAGGCCTTGATACAAAGTTTTAAGTTTTAGAGTTACAAAAGCGGAAGTGGAACCAGATGGGTGTGGAGCTGTATTCTCGCGATATCCTGATGCATGCTCAATATTCTCGCGATATTTGCTGCTTGTGGCACAAGTTTAATGGTTTATCTAAACGGGGGACATGGAGATAAACTGCAGCTTTCTTTGTGGCAAATGTTGAGAATCAGGTGTTTAGCTCAAGGGCATCAAGCAGACCTTGGTGCTTGCCAAACTTGCCAAACAAGTTTTCTGTCTCTTTATTTATTTTTACCAAAGCACACACTGGTGAAGCTGTTTATTATTATTTGAAGTGCAACAAGTTTCACATGCAGAGGGGTTTTGTTTTGTATTCACACAGAGATGCTGAGGTCAACCCACATGTCTTGTTTTGTGACGCACAATATGTTTCTCATGTTTCCAGCCTCACACCCACCATTTACTGGCTCTTCTCAGGGGTTTTTTTTTGTACAAATGTCTGTCTCAAATGACTCATGGAATGCTTTAGTTCTGTTCATTATCTTATCTTTTAGTCTTGCACACACCTACAGTGGAGGGTTGAATTTCTTTCAGAATAAACAAATGTAGCTTACTGCAAAAATACCAAGCCATCCACCATCTTCTTGCAGGAGGTGTTTTTAATTTTATGTTGACATATCCTACTTTTTTTCAAATTAACTTATTTTGTTTACAGCATGATTTGCAGAGGCCGTACCAACTGCAAAAGCTCATTTCCGCTAACTCGCACCAATTTATCGACTCGTTAACAGCAGCATGTTGACTCTAGCAATTCAATTCTCCTGAGAATCACAGCTATTGATCTTCACTTTCCAACTAATTTATGTCATCAAATTCTGTCAATTCTTGCGGGGAGTTCATTTGGTTTTTAAATCTCTTGTAAATGAGTCCTCGAGGCTCAATGGGATCCACCTGTCTAAGTAAAGGTTGAATGCAAAAAAAAAAAAAAAAAAAGATCCACAGAGAACTCTGCAGGTGTGGTTTGAAATGACTTGAAACATACTCTCATTCTATTATTATAGTCTTAGGTGGTATAATTCTTTAAGTAAATTGAAGAACTACATTTGTGCTGCAAAAAAAATTTAATTACTAGAGACAGGAAATGCCCAAATTAAGCCATTGGTGTTTTCCTTACCAGAGGCAAAATGTGCATGACAGAAACATGACTGTGTTTGTGGTTTGTTGGGCAGCTGACTTCACAGGATGCGCCTGTAAAACAAGGCTAGCTTTGTCTCTCCCTTCTGTGGGATTCTGAAGGGGAGGGTGGCTATTTTTACATGAATACCAAACTGAGGAATGCAGTGCCGTTGGTTGCAGTCATTGTAAGCAGCTGCAAGTCCCCCCTCCCATCTTCCTCTTCCATTTGGTCCTCCTACACCGGGAAGTCGTAGCAGCGACACAGGATTGGACAGAGCTGACATCATCTCATTTCTCTCTGCCGCGTTTTCAGGAAGTTGAGTCTGATGCAACCGGTGCTCACTGTTAAAATAAGTCTGGTTTCACAATGTAAACTAACTTGCTAAACCTACAAGCAACAACATGTCAATAATATTGTTTTACACAACATCCTATTTAAAAGTTTAACTTTATCTGCATTTTTAAGAGCAAGGGTAAAGTAAGAGTTATTTTAATAACGATATGTGCCTTAACTAATAATTGGAGTCAATATAACTTTACAGTAAAATGTAATACTGTAGCTTTGGACAACATTTTTCAGTCCGGTCATCTGGATGGTTTCTTTATTTTGTGCTGAAACGTTTCGCCTTCGATCTGGAAGGCTTCATCAGTCAAGGAAACGCACAACAAAACTGATTTTTTCCCCCCCAACGGCTTACTTTAAAATGGAACAAACCAGTTTTGTTGGTGCTAAGTTGGTCTCTTTGGAACGCCCCCTCCTCCATTGCCAAGACCTGACTGAAAAATGTTGGATTGTATTCCTGGATTATTGAGCATGGACTTTACTGTAGCTTTGTGTTTGAATCTTATATTGTTGTTTGGGGGTAATACTGCCACCTGGTGCTTGACTTGTGTAACTTCCCTCTCTTCCAGGATGAACACACTGATTCGGTCAAGCAGGAGCTGACGACAGCAGAAGTTTTACAGAAGGTGAAGGAGTACAATGCTCAAATCAACAGTAATCTTTTCATGAACATGGTGGGTAGTGAATATTTATTTCAAACTTGTTCATTTCTTCATAAAATCCTTCTTCTATTTTTGGTTTCAGTGCAATGTTTTAATGTTTTTTTTTGTTGTTGCACAGAACAAGGATGGGTCCTACACTGGCTTCATTAAGGTGCAGTTTAAGCTGGCTCGGCCCGTGTCAGTTCCAGCTCCAAAGAAAGGAGGCCACGATGTAGGAGCGAGGAGGGCCAGTGGGGTGAAGCGCCGCACTTCTTTCTACCTGCCAAAGGATGCGTCCAAGCATTTGCACATAAGTTCTCGCACTACTTCTCGTGAAGTCATTGAGGCTTTGTTGAAGAAGTTTACTGTGGTGGACAATCCTGGCAAGTTTGCACTGTTTGAGCGCAGCGAGCGCCATGACCAAGGTGTTCTTTCTTCTTTTACTAAAATCAGTTTTCTACTTTCTGAAGAAGCATTTCATTAAATGTATTATTTTTGTCTCATCTTCTTCAGTTTATGTTCGTAAACTCTCTGATGGAGAGCGCCCCCTCCGTCTGCGCCTGTGTGCTGGGCCCAATGAAAAAGTCCTCAGCTTTGTGATCAAAGAGAATGAAACTGGTGAAGTCAATGTGAGTGCAACATTCAGATGAGATTTTATATGTTGTATCTTAATGAATTATATGTACTGTTGAAAAACTAAAGCTCTCCTTATCTCCACATTTGCAGTGGCATGCCTTCTCCATGCCCGAGTTGAAGAACTTCCTGCTCATCCTGCAGCGTGAAGAAGAGGAGCACGTCAAGCAGATAGTGCAGCGCTACGCTTTAGCTCGTGCTAAGATGCAGGGGGCTCTATCTGGCTCGACCCCGGGCTGAAACTACCCTCTGCTCGGGGTTCAACATGCAACGCCTGGCTGGAAAATGACGACCAGTCATCACCGTATGCAACGATCCCAGAGAATACGACGGAAGTACACCTCTTGATGAACGAGAGAGTGCGATAGGGTGCAAGACAATGAGAGAAAGAGCTAGCGCGTATGTGCGTGTGAAATGTTGCGTTAGATGAGAAGTGCCTTACACCTGGAGAGTCTGATGTGCCTGGGAGAATGAGTTAAAGAGTGGAGGCTGGCAGATGAGATGGTGGTTGTTGGTCCAGACCTACTGGACATTAGTGAATGATCCTGTACCTCAGCTGTCTTTTTAGCACTAAAAGTGACTAGGCCTTTCAATATCTGGCACTTATGTGTACCAAAATTGACAATTATACAATTGTAAAAACAGGGTTAAATAAGTACTGTAATATAGTTTTTAAGATTTTTTTTTTTTTTTTTTGCATATTGTCACTTTAGGTTTTTCTTATTTTTCAAAAGTCTTGTTACTTTGTTCCAAAGTTTTGCTGAAAGAGTACCATATTTGGATTTTCACTGAGCCCAGTCTCAAAGGTCTGCCATGTGTCCTCGCTCTACACCCCTGACGGGTGCCGCTGTTGATTTTTACCGTCACTTTGCGAGTATAACTGATGAATGATCATTTTTATGCAATTCTGAATGTCGGATGTGCAGTGCCACAAGTCACGCTGGCTGACTGAAATCCTGAATGAATATTGCCTCACTTGTGTTCAACTGGAAGCTGCTTATCATTCTTTATATTTTTGTTTTTCCATCCAACAAATGTTTGTCTTCTTTTTTTATTCTTGTCTTTGCAATTCACGTTTGTGTCTGTCTGTGCACAAATTTAAATGTAGCAGTCAAATGTTGTGAGATGCACACAGCATTTAATAAAACATTTCCAGAGTAAATTGTCTTTTTCTATTATTGTCAAAAATGCAATGTCTTAAAAATTAAAATACCAGCTGATGTTACCCTTGTATTTATTTTGAACCCTAAATGCTCTTGAACTAAGGATGCCACAGTGAATTATAACAAAAATAACAGTCATAACATATTAGTTATCTAGTCAAAGTAACAGCACAATAAAGGCAGAATATTTTGAATAGTTATAATTTCAAATTTGACAGTAGCAGATTGGACTCGATACTGGAGTAGGAACCCACTGTTCAGACTTTCTCCAAGTTTCCATCAGATCAGCTGATCGTCCTCAGACCAGCAGCACCCAGAGCTAGCACAAGTACGAGCTATGACGGAACATGTCGACGTAAAAGGTCTCGCTATAAGGTGAGACGTTTCACCATGTTTGTGTCAAAGACTGCATTCTTCGTGCGTGTCGTGGAGCTGTCCACCTGTCCGGGTTTGTTTATCATTTAGCTAATCAAGCTAACGCGTCAGTGCAAGAGGCTAACAAGCTAACTCCGAGGTTAGCAGCAAACATTTATGTTCTAGTTTATTAAAATGACGCTTGCGGGAATAATAGAGAGTAGACGCCAACCACGCAACAATATCTGCGTTTTTAGGTGAGTAATTTATGAAATGTGAAATAAATCACTAGTACGTGCTAGCTTAAAGCTAGCTAGCACAATGGTTTGAACTATGACAACTGCAGTGACTGTCAAGTTTAAACTTCCATTATACTTGTGTGTGTATATATATATATATAAATTATAAAAACATACATTTTGTTGAGTTAGGTATGGTTACTTTAATTAAAGGTTTAAAGTAAAACCTTCCAGAGGTTAAATTTGTCTTGAATTTTCTGTATGAGCAAAGATGTGGCCCGCGGTGCCAATAACGGTCACTGGGCAACACTAATCAGGCCTTCTTTGTTCTCAGATAAAAACAACTTCCAATAACTAAAAAAAAAAAACCTATTTCTAGACATTTTGGGCCAAGGTTGATTGAAAGTTTTGATACCAAGATAGTATCTTATTGAGTTCCAGTACATCTGGCAGTGAAATTGTGAGAGAAACTCATTTTTAGTTGCAGTCTCACTGAATTCTAAGTGTTTGCAACTGAGTGATCAGCAAACCATGCAGCTGCATTTTCTTGGTCAGTCTTTGAAAACCACAGCCCATTTTTGTATGCAAGGCTTGGAAAAAACATGCTCCAGTCTTTGCACATTCTTTACCCATTTCTACCCTTTGCACCTATACCTTGGTAACCATCCCTGCATTTATGATTTAATCTACTGGAGTTGTCTTCTGTTTCACCTTCTTTTGGTTGATCCCTCTTCAGGGGTCGCCACAGCAAGTCGTCATCCTCCATCTCACCCTGTCCTCTGCATCCTACCTCCACGACTTCTAACTGCATCCTTATATCTCTTCGGCTTCCCTCTTTTTGAAATTAGGATTAAAACCAACTTTAGCTACTTCTCATCAATGTGGATTTTAGACCTGGAACTGTTTTCTGTGAGATAAGCGCTTTTGTGCAGGTGTCAAAATCAGGGGTTGGCTGGCCGATTTCCTTAATTTTGTTAGTTCGGAGAGCGGACGATACTTGCACGAGAAACCGATTTTACCGATTTTCTGTAGTTTTAACAATTGTTTAAACTTCATTTCAGAGCACTACCTCATGGCCAGTTAAAACAAGTTTGTATTGTTTCTAGGATATTGTTCAAGGGTAAGATTTTCAATCAAATAAGATTGGAAAATTGAAGGTGCATTGTGACCTTATAACACCTGACAGTGTCGCTTATAAAACAAAATCGGTATCGGCCAAAATCGGAATTGGCAGGTCAGACTTTTTAGAAATTGGTGATCGGCCAGAAAACTGCAATCGGTGCACCCCTAGTCAAAATACAACTCGTTCTTTTGTGAAGTGTTTAAGCATAATTTGAAGTTTATGATACATCAATGATTGGATCTTCTTGGCTTTTGTTTATTTGTATGGATGCCTTTAGTAACAAACATGTTCTGCTTTGACAACTAGCACAGCGTGCAACAAGTTACAAAAACTATAGGACATGCACATCACAACAAGACAAAACTACACAACCCCCACCTCCTGCATGACGAGCAGCGTGATCAGTTTTGTTGGACAAAGCAATTCTTGAGCCCAAGAATAGGAAGTGTAAACCAGGTGTCCAGAGACCGACATATGCAGCGTAACACAAAGTGTTCGGTGAAGAAAACGGCTACAAACTAAACAAACAGGGTTGTATACAAGTGCAAAGGTTTAATATTAGCTAATGTAGTGTTCTGTCACGTGGGCTGATTATTTTTTCTTTCTAGGAAAGCGTTATTTTATAAGCCTAAAAATTGATAGAAAAGGTGTCCTTGCTTAGCTAGTCATTAGCATAGCCTGGAGGAAGACCTCTGTCCTTTTGTCCATACGCTGTGTTCTGTGACTGATGTCTCTGCTCATAAGATACAGACTATCCTATTAGGGAATAAACTGAAGATGCTTGTTTGACAATGAGAAGATTTTGTCTCTGATTGGTACATTTGAACATATTCAAGTTTGTCAGCTGTCTGTTTAGGGAGTTTGTATGCCAAGAAAGTGTTGGCGTATTGAAGTCCAACATCACAAGACTTTCTTTTTAACCAGTATCACTAAAACTGTACTAAAAACTTGTCATAATCAGAAAAAAGGGGTGGGGGGGGGGGGGGGGCTTAAAGTCTCTTTAATGATATTTTATACAGGAAAGGTCAACTGTCCGCAGATTAACCCAAAGTTACATCCATGTTGCATTCAAATTGAACAGAGCAACTCTTTTTCTCGTTGTAGCATTCGTAGAATAATAAGTACATTAAATTAAGGTGATCAGGAAACTATTCCCATGTTTTTATTCACTTAGTCTTTGATTGCTTCAACTCAGTACGGCTTTAGACCAAAGGTGGGTTACCCACATCTGATCTAACATTTTCAAAGTTGTCAGAGCAAACTGCAGGCGTGTTAGAGGAAGCAGCAGCATTAAACCTTCTTTAACCAGTCAGTGAGTGTCTGATAAAACGTGTTTTTTGTTTGTGGGCTGTTTATGTTTCAGGTGCTGGCCTTGATAAGCAGTGGAGTTTCTGGCCACCAAGCAGAGTGGAAGCTTCAACTGGAGGTTAATTATGTCTTGTCGCTAAAATGGGGGGAAGTGGATCCAAAGTCAAAGGAGTCTGGCCTTTCTCAGGCAGTGGAGGCGATTCAGGAAATGAGGGAAACGAGCAAACTTTGGCCCGCCTGAAAGGTTCCAAGAATGCAACACCATTTGTTTTCACAAGAAGGAGGTAACAATAAATATATATATATATTTTTTTTAAACGTGTATTATGTTTTTATGCATTTTATTTGTTAGGGCTGTAACAAGTTCCAATGACAAGTGTCCCCTCAGAAATGTGCAAGTTAATTATCACACCGTTTTCTTTTCATCTTGACAGCATTACTGATTCTACAGAATTTTCCAAACTTCCTTTTTTTGTAACAAAAAAAATGTTACAGAGAAAAGTAGTAATAGTCTGCAAGTTTACCTGTTTCTTTTTTTTTTTTTAAGTAAATGAATCTTTTTAGGGCAGCACGGTGGCGCAACTGGTAGAGCTGCTGCCTCTCAGCGAGCAGGTCCCTGGTTCAAACCCCGGTCCAGGGGCCTTTCTGGGTGGAGTTTGTATGTTCTCTCCATGCATGCGTGGGTTTTCTCCGGGTGCTCCGGTTTCCTCCCACAGTCCAAAAACATGCATGTTAGGCTGATTGGTAACTCTAAATTGTCCCTAGGTGTGAATGAGAGAGTGAATGGTTGTTTGTCTCATGTGTCTCTATGATGTGTCTGTCATGTGTCTCCCTGTGATGGACTTGCGACCCGTCCAGGGTGTACCCCGCCCCTCGCACAGTGATTGCTGGACATGGGCACCAGCGAACCCCGTGACCCAAAATGGAATAAGCGGGTAAAAATAATGGATGGATGAATCTTTTTTAATTAAGTCCTTTTCAAATATAAAACTACTATTGATTTTTCTATAGCCTCAACTGCTTATTGTCAAATGATTGCATTTCGGATGGATGGAGCTTTTGTGTGCTGTTTTCATGTTTGACTCAAGTTGTTGAGATATTGTTGTTTCTTCCAGTTTGTTGTGCTATTTTAGATCATTTTGTCACCAAATATGGAAATGAAAAGCTAGAAAAGTAAAAGAAGAGCCTGAGTGATGTCAGCTGGCGAAGACAACCCTTTTGTTATAAAGGATATACTCCTACGTCACTGTTTTACGAGGCACTGCTTTTCTCATCAAATATTAGGAAAATCTCTGCAGTTACGCAAACTACAAAGAAATTTGTACATTTTGGTAGCTTGTAAAAAATATAGCCCAGATTTTATTTTCTGGATCTTTTTGTTTTATTTCTTTATTGAGTTTTGTTTACTGTGTTTCCAAGCTGCTCATACAGCTTGCACTTGTTATCAGAGTTATACTCAGCAGGATGTAATTCACAGTCTTATAACAGCGCTTGGACGTAACCACAGCGTGAGACATCTCTGATAATATATTTGACTGGATTATGCACATAACTTGCATAGATACTGTTGCAGATGAGCATCGAGTCAGATGCAGTAGTCCCTCACTTATCATGGGGGTTACATTTCCAGACAATACAGATGGGTGAAAATCCGTGAAGTAGGGACGTTCAGTTCATTGTAGTATTTATATATATTTTAAGGCTTTATAAACTCTTCCCACACTCTTGCAATGTTCTTAACCATGTTCTAAACTTTCTCAACGCTCTAAAAGAGCACAGCTAAAGAAAGCAGACAGACTGATGCTATGGTTACTGAGCCAATCAGCGCCCGGGGGCAGAATCACCATCAGGAGCACCGGGACTCGGGTCGGTTCAGATCGCGCTTGATTATTTAAAAAAAACAACAATCCATGCCATGCACTCTGGTATCTGCCTCACTGAAGCTCCCAGACAGACTTTAACCCCTCCTTTCTTTTTCTGAGGCTGCCAGCCTCTGAAAGAGAAAGGAGGGGGCCCCTCGGCGATCACTGAGTGGCCAGGCCACCGGGAAACAATGTGCACAACCTTACATTGAAAACTCGCAAAAGAGTGACTCTACGAAAGTCAAACCGCAAAGTATCGAGGGACTACTGTACTTATTTCAGCATTTACAAGACTTTCTCTTTTTTCATCAAGCCTGATAAAAACCTTATTTGACTAACAAGATGCTGTAGTTTTGACGTTCGCTCAATGTCTCGGCAGTTCCCTGTACTACGATGAGGATGGTGACCTCGCCCATGAATTCTACGAGGAGATGGTGGTGACGAAAAATGGCAGAAAAAAGTCCAAGTTGAAGAGGATCCAGAAAAATCTGATTCCTCAGGTGAGCGGGGGGGACGCAGGGTGATGGTGATGTCTTGTTAGAACTGTTTCAGTGTGAAACTGTGTATCTTTCAGGGAATCGTGAAGCTCGATCACCCCTGCATTCATGTAGATTTCCCCATCGTCCTCTGTGAAGTGTGAGAAGTTGCACCGGACTGATGATTTGCAATCAGAGCAACATTCTGTCCCAGTCGGAGGCATCGTGATGAAGGCTGGACTCATGCTTCAGAAACAGAAAAGTTAAAATGCTGTGCTGACTGAAATATTACCCAGAGCTGTGGTCATGGGGTGCACTGTTCACTAAAAACACATTTTGACATTCACAAATGTAGTGATGGTTCACCTTATGTTCCCACTAACCAGCTGTGATGTAGAATATTGTACATTGTATTTTTTTTCTTCAAGTTTTTTGTTATTTTTTTATTTTGTCAGCGTGAAAAGGCTTTAATGGTTCTTACCTTGTGTGCAATGTTGAGTGTTACATGGTGCAGTTTTTTCCTTGTATGTTGGTTTTGTTTGAGTGAATATGTCGAAGAAAGATTTAGGTTGGATCCATTACAAGTGCATCTCTAAAAATTAGAATATTGTGAAAAAGTTCAACATATTATTATTTTTTTTGTCAGTCATTTCAGGAAGTTAAACTCAAATAGATTGATTGCATATAGAGTGAAATATTTCTTGTAATTTTGATGATTATGGCTTCCAAATAATGAAAAATCTAATTTCATTGTCTCAGAAAATTAGAATATTCCACAGCCAGCTGTTGGTGCTTTTGTCAGTGTGGGCAGGAGACAAGTCCTGCTGGAAAATGAAATCATCATCTCCATGAAGCTCGTCAGCAGAAGGAAGCGTGACGTCTCTAAAATGTCCTGCTAGATGCTGCGTTGACTGTGGACTTCAGAAAACACAGTGGACCAACACCAGCAGAGGACATGGACCCAAACCATCACTGACTGGGAACTTCACTCTGGACTTCAAGCAACGTGGATTCTGTTCCTCTCCACTCTTCCTCCAGACTCTGGCACCTTGAGTTCTAAATGACATGAACATTTACTTTCATCTGAAAAGAGGACATTGGACCACTGAGCAGCAGTCCAGTTATTTTTCTTCTCAGCAGGTAAGACACTTCTGACATCATCTCTGGTTCAGGAGTGGCTGGACTTGAGGAATGAAACATGTGTAGCTCATGTCCAGGAGTTACTCAGCTGATCAGGGTGTGCCATCATGAGTTTACAATATTGAACCTCTGCACTATATTCAAATTTTCTGAGACACTGATATTTATTTATTTTTTCCATTATCTGAAAGCCTAAGCATCAATATTGCAAGACATAAAGGCTTGAAATATTTCACTCTGTAAAGTGGGTTTCACTTTTGGAAGTAAATGACAAAGAATATTGAAAATTTCACAATGCTCTAAGTTTTTAGATGGACCTGTCTGTGTATGTTCATGTTCTTTATCGTCACGTCTGAGTCTGTCTCAGTTACTGAAGCTCAGACCTGCACTAGTGAACATAACATTCTGTAAATACCTCAGATTTCTTTGTTGGAGATACTTGAATAAATGGTTTATCTAAGTGAATAATGAGTCAAATCTTTTATTCCATCAGTTCGCCTTAGTGTGTTTAAGTTTTTCATATTGTTACTTTACCAGACTAATATATGTACAAACACACACACACACACACACACACACACACACACGCGATTGAATGAAATCAACTCAACTGTATTGTGGTTTCTAAAAATATTTTGTTGTATGCTTACAACTATCACTCATTTAAAATAAAGTAATTTTGTCCGTATTCTTACAGTATATTCACATTTATTATTTTTTGACATGCTACTAAAATAAGGGCAATTTAGATGTTCAAAAATAAAATCCCAAGAGTAGCTGGAGGATGGAGCAGTTTTATTCCTGGCCAGGCCTCCTCAGATTCTGTTTGGCAGGATTTGGTGAAATTAGGAGCAACTATTACTTCCCAGCTCTTTGAAAATGATTTTGAGCTACTACATAACTGAAGTTACATGATTATAATGAGGAAACCTGGAAGTAAGTAGGAAAAATCTTGTGATTAAACATTTTTATTTTTGGATCATGTCGAGCTTAGTTTTTTTTTTTTTTTACCATTTTATCCTCAGCGAGCTGTAGCTTTTTATTGAATGTATGAAACTAATTTCCCTAAAATATGGTAAAAAGAAAACTTCTGGTTGTATTAATTACGATGCCCAACTGTTTACTTTTTATAAAACAAATAAAATAGATTCTATGAACAAATATCTCACTCTTAAATTCCATCAAATGTGCAATTTTCTTGTTTAGGTGTCAAATCTGTTTAATTTATTTAATTTTTTTGTTAATACGGATTGATAAAAAGGCATCTTGTTATTTTTTTTATGTATAAAACCTGTATAATTTTTAAGGCTGTTTTTTTTTTTTTTTTTTTTTTTTAATCTGAGGCTGGGAGATATTGAGTGGACATGATTTAATGAGCTAAAAAATAAATAAACCTGATATTTTTTGTAATGCTGAGGCTGACATTTGCATAAAATCAAACTTTAATCCATTATTTATTTATTACTTCCTCTGTCCTGGTTTATCACACTGTTGGGCTTCAAATCTAAACTTTGATCAGCCTTCAAATAGAGGCCAGGCAGAAAAAGTTTAGGTTCCTGTCAACTGGAACAATCTGACCTATTTCAATTCAATTTTCAATTCAGTTTATTTATAAAGTGCCAAGTCACAACAGAAGTCATCTCAGGGCACTGAACAGAAATATTCATATATACAGTATAAAAAGTAAATTAACATTATTTATCTGATCAAGCATGAAGGTGACAGTGGAAAGGAAAAAACTCCCTCATGAGGAAGAAACCTTTGGCAGAACCAGACTCAGGACAATCAGCCATCCGCTTCGACCGACTGGGTTTGATAGGAACAGATACACAATGGCAGGTCAAGAAACACGTTAAGATAGAAATAATTTCAAATGCAAATTATTAATTTTGTAACAATTCATTTTACGAAATGTAGTCAATTTGTAAGATCTGTAATATAAGGTGGAGCTAGGTTGTTGAGGGCTTTGTAGGTTAGAAATAAGAATTTGAATTCTATTCTGGATTTGACAGGAAGCCAGTGGAGAGAAGGTAAAACTGGAGAGAGATGATCTCTCCTACTAACTCCAGTTAAGACTCTGGCAGCAACATTCGGGATCAAAGAAGCACCCAGATAACAAACCATTGCAATAGTCCAGTCTAGATGCATGAACCAGTTTTTCTGCATCATTTTTAGATAAGATGTTTCTAATTGTAGCAATATTATTTAGGTGGAAGAAGACCTGTTTCTTGTTTTTTTTTAGAAAGAGATTTCTTTTAGGACTGAAACATCACTGTCCACATGTTTACCATTATTATTATTATTATTTTAATAATTTGAGTTGTCAAGGGTCAGACCAAAATCAAATCTGGACCGTTCACTGTATTCCTATGTAGAAGTTGTATCATATGATTGACTAGTTTCAACATTTTTTGGCAAATTAAAAAAAAAAGCAGGAGTTTTGCCTGAAAATGCAGATGCAAAGATTTTGTGTGCTTCTTTAACATGTTGAATGTGTCCACTAGATGTCAGCAGAAAGACACCTCAACTAACAGTGATTTCTTAAAAAAAAAAAAAAAAAAAAAGTCTCCTTCCTTTTATCATCACATTTATAGTTTGTTCTCAGTTTTCTCAAACAATTATTTGCTCAGACACACTTCCACAAAACCCCCAAAATCAACATTTGGACTGTGAAGTTTAGCCTCAATCTATCTGAGGTCAAAGTCATCCAGAAGATGTGGTGACCTGTGATGGTGCCAGCTGGCAGAGGATCAAACTTTAATGACAATGTAAATATAAGATTCAGTACTTGCACCAAGTTCCCATAAGAACTGGGAAGGGCTTCCTTCAGAGGCTTTCTCTGGGGTCTGTAATTGTGAGGAATGCGGTTAGGTGCGTTTTTGGGCCAGAGGTCAGGCACTTTGATGTGCTTCCTCTCCACTGCTCTTTGAAGTGCTCCTGAATGTTCAGCCTGTATTAAAAGGACGAACCATAAAAGTTATGAACTCCATGAATGAGACACTAAGAAGCACCAGTTTCATCTCAGGAATGTGTTTGTCCGTGCGTGCAACGTGCTTGAGGAGGGGAAAGTTGTTCGCACGAGTGTGGATGAGAGTCCTCCTGAATTATTTGCCGACTTAAAGAAGTAGAATGTGCTTTAAATTATAAACAGTAAAAGAAAAGTTAGTTTTCTCATGGGCCTTTGGGCGGGAGTTGTTTAAAGTCAACGACCAGTTTGTTCTGGTCCTGCTGGGTTCACTGATTAATTCTGTTGGAGTTCACATCACTGTTAGTCTGTGCATATGCAACACATTTGATCGGTGAGGCGCTGAATGAAAACAAAGACAACCCAGAGCAGACCCCACAACCAACACTAGTTCAACACCTCTGAGTAATGACCACCAGGCAAAAGACATCATGAAGACCAAGGACTGCTTAATACAGGTCAGAGACAAACTTGTGAAGAAGTACAAATCAAGGTTAGAGATGGATGGATGTATAGCTAGATAGACAGACCGATAGATAGGTAGACAGACAGACAAATAGATAGATAGATAGATAGATAGATAGATAGATAGATAGATAGATA